GTGACTTGCATGGTTCCTGTAAGGTTAGTTGGCGATACTTCAAGTCAAAAATATGTTATATTGTGGCAAAATGATCGACCATCCTCTCCAAGGTTTTGTCGGCCAATACACATTCAATATAAGCATGAAACCGGGTGCGCCAAAGTTCACCTAAATTTTCAACTCCGAAAATTGGAAGTCCGAAAATGTTCTTCCTAAAATTTTTCATCCTAACAATCACAATTCCTAACTACTCTGTCTCTAATGTTCATATTTCCGAATCATTCAACTTCATAATGTCATTAGCAATAAACATCTATTATACTTTTATTTGTTCTCCTAGATTTTCTCAACATAACCATATTTTACACTATTATTCAATGTCATATCTTTTTTGTTTAGATTTCTTTCTTTGGCGATATATTAAAGTTCCAGAAACGAATCGGTCCTATTCATAATTATTGGTTTAGGTTAGGTTAGAACTGTGACCACAACGCACGAGCCGAGCGAGCGAAGCCAGAGTCCCGCTCCAGTCATTTGGTCAAGTTCCAGAAACGAATCGGTCCTATTCATAATTATTGGTTTAGGTTAGGTTAGAACTGAGACCACAACGCACGAGCCGAGCGAGCGAAGCCAGAGTCTCGCTCCAGTCATTCAGTCAAGTTCCAGAAACGAATCGGTCCTATTCATAATTATTGGTTTAGGTTAGGTTAGAACTGTGACCTTACGTTTCATTCGCGAAGAACGTACTTCTGTACGTAGTATTTATTAATATTCTATGGTATGAGTGAAAATATTATGGTAATATTTAGGGATAAAAGTGTTATGATAAAAAACAGTAGGAGTTTAAATATATTTACATAAATGATATTATTAATTACAATTTCCGGAAACATGAGTGTTATGAACATCGCCGGTAGCACTACAAATAGTATGAATGAAAACTTAAGGATGAAAAATTTTAGGAAGAGTGATCATTCGGATTTAAAATCGTTAGGAAGAACAATTTCGGGTAAATAACTTTAGGTGAGCCAATATGGACCCCATGAAACCACCGAAAGAATAAACCATGAAATGATGCGAGTAGAAGAAGAAATTAATAATTTAAGACCCACTAGCATCGAAGTAGGCACTAAAACTTTAGAAATTTCACATGAATTTCATTTTACGATGACTGATGGGAAAATATGCAATGCGGTAAGTGGCACTACTTCAACTCAGAGGTGCTACATTTGCAAATTAACATCTAGTCAATTTAATTCCATTGCGGCATCGCGTCAAGCATCAGTTGATACCAATTGTCTTCGGTTTGGTTTGTCGATACTTCATGGTTGGATCAGAATGTTCGAATGTCTACTCCATGTAAGTTACAAATTACCAGTATGTAAATGGCGTGTTACAAAACAAGAGGACAAGTGTATAGTTGAGGAAACAAAAAAACGAATTCAGCATGACTTCAAAAGCAAGTTAGGCCTAATAGTTGATTGTCCCAAACCTGGTTATGGCAATTCGAATGATGGGAATACTGCTCGGCGCTTTTTTGATAATTCGGAAATATCAGCTGATATTACCAAAGTTAATAAAAAATTGATTGATCGCTTTCACATCATTCTTATAACACTATCTAGTGGTCTTGATATAGTTATCACTAAATTTAATATAAACTGTTTGAAAACAGCCGTACTGTTCATAAAATTATACCCTTGGTATTACATGCCAACAAGCGTCCATAAGATTTTGATGCATTCGTCAATAGTTATATCACATGCTCTATTACCTATCGGCCTATTACAACTGTCTACAGCATTTTTGCGCACGGGTTATGCATAGCTTATTTTTATTGTTTTATGACCTAGAAATAAGAATAACAACAAAAAATTGTTCTGAATTTGCTTTTATATGTAAAAAATAGAAAAATTCATATCAATGAATGTATGAAACATGAACATAGAGATGATTCAATTAGTTGCCAAATATTTTATTTTCTTTCTTTCTTTCATTCTTCTAATTATTAAAACATACCAAACATCCATTTAAGATTCATTCTCACAAGAGAAAATTTAAAATAGAGTCCAAATTTTTATTAATTTGAAAAGTTCTAATTTCCTGTCATGTTCCATAGAAGATTTTTCGCATAAAAATCTAACCCTATCATGCTTTCAGTATACTGGCCTTGGTAACGTCGTCTCTCAAATCTCACTATATTTTGATGAAAGCGTGCCCCTTGTTCTTGCGAATAAGCCCCCATAATTATTTATAAATATATCCCAATGATAATGGGACGTGCATCTTTAGAGACATTCTACTATGAAGATGGAAAATTCAAATCGCTATAACTTCTTAAAAAGCAAATATTTTCGATTTGCAATCGCTTTTTTTTATATAAATTTGCTTATATAATCAGAATATAATAAGTAAAATCCATGCGCAAAAAAAAACTTTTTTTTTGTTGACCGGTGTTATCAGAAGAAGCCCAAGAAGCTAGAAATAAGGATGTAAAGCGTTACCGCGAGCAGTATTCAAGAAAGATGTCGCGAGTGACGACAATCAGAGATGTTTTTAATAGGTTGTTGGTAACTTCTGATCCATTAATCTCAAGCCTTCGAAAACAACCTAAAAAAAAAGAGTAAAATTTTACCTTTTGAAGTAAAGGAAATGCTTCTGCCTATACCTTTAGATACACAAGAAATAAGCGTACAAGATTTATCTACAGAAGGTGACAGTAGTGAATTTAGTGATTAATTCTTTAGTATCTTCCTAATATTGTTTTTTTTTGTTCTGGAAACATTTGTTTTTACTGTCTAAAAAAAACTTGTGTACGTACCTACATCTATTTTAAATTATTAATTTTGTTTTATAATATTTATTAGCTACGTTTCGTTCTGAAGAAATGGAAGGTCCCTCTTCCCCGAGTTTATTGAGCTACAGTACTCATGAGAAGAAAGGAAAGGCATTAAAAACTACAGAAGACGAATGTGTTCCAACAAAAAAAACATATGTAATCAAGGCAACACAGGTTTCGGCAGATAATTTATTGGACTCAAACTTATATACCAGAAGTTTATGGGATAAAGATCAATTAAAATGTGATGTCTCCAAATTACCTGCGCTAAACTTTGATCAAGGTGAACCCAGTGATCCACGAAACAAAGAATTTGCCCGACTCGTTGCTTATGAATTAGATCGAGTTCCTATAGATAAACGATCAGTTACATATGTTAATATACTCAATATGATTAGAAAGGTGCGCCAAGAGAAAGATTTGGATGACATAAGTTTACCAAGTTATGAAGAATCAGATTAATTATGTTACTGACATTATCATAAAGCTGAATTTAGATGATTTTATATGTAAAATTTATTATTATGTTAAAATACTAAAAAAAATAATGATTAAAATATAAAAAGTTGTTTATTTAATTACATTCTATACATTTATGATAATAGGTAATAGGTTCAGGGCTCAAATAATTTTGTCCGGTACTTTGTATGAACCGGCAACACTGTGCGTCGACTTCACCGGCAGTGTACTTGTTAAAGCTAACAAAGGCCGCGGAGTCAAAACCACGAAAGGTTACGTGGCAGTCTTTATATGTATGGCGACCAAAGCCGTACATTTAGAACTGGTTTCGTAACCTTTTGCCATCAATTATGGTGGCATGGACCACATTGGCTACCTACCTATGATGACAGTTTACGCAACCAAGATCAAAATTACACCACCAACCAAGAAATTAAAAAATGTGTACAAACCAACATGACTAATTTAGTTTCTCAAACGCTTGACAACAGCATTGTAACCGATCTTATTACTAAACAAAGCTCGCTGACACGTGCAGTGCGCATTCTTGCTTGGATAATGAGAATACGTAATCCACACAAATTACCATATTTAACCACTTCTGAACTTACCGATGCAAAACATGCTATCGTTAAAACCATTCAACACCAAGAATTTACCAATGAGATCACCAAATTAAAAACCAACCACCAACTTGATAAACAAAGTAAACTTTTTAACTTAAACCCCTTTTTGGATGAAAATGGTTTACTTCGCGTCGGCGGCAGGCTGCATAATGCAAGTATTCCTGAAAACATGAAACATCCAATTATTATTCCATCTAACCACAGATTAACTGAACTTCTAATCGACCATTCTCACCAACAAACTCTTCACGGAGGAGCAAGGTTGACCCTGGCACACCTGAGACAAAACTACTGGGTTGTCAGTGGAAACCGTGTAACCAAAAAACATATTCGCCTTTGTGTGAAATGCCGGAGAAACGAACCAAGTAAACTCCAGCAGTTGATGGGCGACCTACCAGAAGCAAGAAGCAATCCATCACGGCCATTTCTCCATACTGGCGTCGACTTCACCGGCAGTGTACTTGTTAAAGCTAACAAAGGCCGCGGAGTCAAAACCACGAAAGGTTACGTGGCAGTCTTTATATGTATGGCGACCAAAGCCGTACATTTAGAACTGGTTTCGTAACCTTTTGCCATCAATTATGGTGGCATGGACCACATTGGCTACCTACCTATGATGACAGTTTACGCAACCAAGATCAAAATTACACCACCAACCAAGAAATTAAAAAATGTGTACAAACCAACATGACTAATTTAGTTTCTCAAACGCTTGACAACAGCATTGTAACCGATCTTATTACTAAACAAAGCTCGCTGACACGTGCAGTGCGCATTCTTGCTTGGATAATGAGAATACGTAATCCACACAAATTACCATATTTAACCACTTCTGAACTTACCGATGCAAAACATGCTATCGTTAAAACCATTCAACACCAAGAATTTACCAATGAGATCACCAAATTAAAAACCAANGACGAGGTTGGTCCTTTCAGAAATCGGGAATACGGATGTGACAGTGTGTAAAGTATTGTGCATACCGGCACAAACGCAATATACACCGCACCTTCGGGACTGGAGTCTACTAGCTTGGTGCTGGCAACCGGCTTGGGTGAGTTTCGTCCTTGTGGCTTTCACAATAAGGTTCAATTAGATAGCGCCAATACTCTACGCGCCCGAACTACCACTACCCGCCGACGCAGTACTCAACTATAACAGAACACTTCATAGGATTAACGCAATCTACACCGCGCCTTCAGGACTGGAGTCTACGAGCTTGGTGCTGGCTACCGGCTTGGGTGAGTGTCGTCCTTGTGACTTTAAGATTTAGGTTTCAATTTGACTCGCCCGAAAAGCCCCTGCCCGCTGATGCAATACTCAACTATAACAAGACGCTTCATAGGATCAACGCAATATACACTGCTCCTTCGGGATTAGAGTCAACGAGCTTGGTGCTGGCCACTGGCTTGGGTGAGTGTCGTCCTTGTGGCTTTCAGATTTAGGTTCCAATTAGATTGCCCTACGCGCCAGAACTGCCACTACCCTCCGACGCAGTACTCAACTATAACAGAACCCTGCATAGGATCAACGCAATCTACACCGCTTCTTCGGGACTGGAGTCCACTAGCTTGGTGCTGGCCACTGGCTTGGATAAGTCTGCCTGTAGAAGGATTATTCCTTTGCCTTTTAAGATGAACTACAATAATTGCTCAATGCATAGGGTCAACGCCATTACTGCAACCTCAGCGCTGGAGACTACTAGCCCAGTGGTACAACGAGGCGTGCAAAATGCGTCTTTTGCTTTATGTTCTATTTGGATAAGAGGTGTGGTCGTGGTGCTAAAGTATAGTTTCAAGTTTACAAATGAGTTAAAGATCAACCGGTCACTGTTTAGAATAACTTTATATCAAAAGATCACAAAGTTAACGCATCATCTCTCTTCCCAGACTTATTCTACACGCGGGTGGCGCCAAACAAAACGTTCGACTTACTCAAAGACGACTTCGACTATTACCTGATCACCGTAGTGCTGGGAGCCCTCATACTTGCCACGTATAGCACCAAATACTTTGCGGCGCGTAAGATGCTCAAGATGGCTTGGAAGTGATCGCGAGGCGACGGCGGCGCGACTGTGGCGATCCACTCCGGTATTGGTTCGGTGTTAAGCGCTTAATCTAACATCGAGAGGAAAGTGAACTTGGAAATATTTAACTTGATTTATGTTTGTCTTGTGCTGTCTTTAATTTGGTAGATGACAACACCGGTCTATTGGCAAATTAGCAGTCAGCCCAAATAATGTTACCGACTGTAATATTTAGTACCAAAAACAGTATTAGCTTAAGCGCTAAACAAAAAGTAATATCCAACACCGTCGTCTTCACAGTCCAAATCATCAATAAAATATAAATATATACTTTATATAAATATAGCCTCGTGATTCGTGTATAGTGAGTGTTCACGTAAGTAAATAAATAAAAAGTAAACAGTTATTGGTTAACTAATCTCTGTAAAGCTCGATTCACACATATCAGTGAAGCTACAGTTCCGTCACAGTACCGGCACGCATCCCATACATCTGACAAGTGTCAGTGTCAGTGACGATAGAAACTGCATGAAAGAATATTTCGCACTGTGACGGAACTGTGGCTTCACTGATATGTGTGAATCGAGCTTAATAGTTCACAAATTACACGTCAGTAATATTTATTAGAGATCAATAAGAGATCAAATTAATTTGAGAACTACTTGTATTCAGTTTATTGCGACGTGATCTATTTATTTAGCATGAATTTTAAAATGTTTTAAAAACGTTAAGTTTGTGAAACTGGAAAATGTTAATAAAACGTTCTGAAGTTATTTTATATCAAAAACATATCGCAAAGGAATGAAGGAAGCTAATGAAAATTAATAGAACTATTATTTATTCACTGTAAAATATGTAAATAGATTACGTTGCAAAACCTCTCAGTTTATGTATAATTAGCTAGTGCAATGTAGTCATATTGTATTATTTATTTACAAGTGATAAGTAACACTTGTTATCAAAAATCATTCCAGGATTAATACTTACCTAAAATTTATTGAATAGCAAATACCTGGATTAGATTTTAATAAAAAAATGCAAACATTGATATACAGGGTGACAGGTAAAGCGATACATTCCTTGAAAGGGGTTAAAGTAGAGCTTATTTGCAGTCATTTAAGTCATATGACACCATGTCCGAAACTTGTTCATTTCCAAGTTATTCAAGATTTAAGTATTTTTTTAAAAATCTCCAGTTTTTATGTTAAAATGTACCCTTGTAATGAAGAATACGGAATAATGTTAACTTTTTTGTTGTATTCGTATAGCTAAATAATTAGATTGACATTTTAAATTAAAATTTGCAAGAAAGAATCGTCATTACTCAAGTAAAAGCTAAAAAACCATGTATTATTTTGCAAAAAAAATATGTTTTAGGTAATTAAACGAAGAATTTCCAAGAAAAAATGTATGGAATGTTGTTTACAAATTACAGAATTTAGTTCCTTGATTCATTAGCTATTTAAAAAGGTACAGGTGTTTAACAAACACTACATAATTATTTTTTTTATTTGAATTTAAGTCTAGTAAGATACTTTCATAAAAAAATAAATAAATAAAATAGTCACACTAACAACTGTTCTTGGGTCTCAATAAATGAAAAACTTAGTATTTTAATAATAATTGTATCACCTAATTTTATCTAGGTACATTATTTTAAGTCCTGCTCAAACTGTGAGCCCCGTCTTCTAATACAATATTTTTTTTGCAAAATAATACATGGTTTTTTTGCTCTTACTTGAGTAATGACGATTCTTTCTTGCAAATTTTAATTTAAAATGTCAATCTTATTATTTAGCTATACGAATACAACAAAAAAGTTAACATTATTCCGTATTCTTCATTACAAGGGTACATTTTAACATAAAAACTGGAGATTTTTAAAAAAATACTTAAATCTTGAATAACTTGGAAATGAACAAGTTTCGGACATGGTGTCATATGACTTAAATGACTGCAAATAAGCTCTACTTTAACCCCTTTCAAGGAATGTATCGCTTTACCTGTCACCCTGTATAATATTCCTCTTGAATTTAATATTAAGATACGTTGCGTAATACGTCAGTAATATTTGAACTGCATTTTTTACACGATGGTTTCTGGCAATCATCGGTATTTTAATAAAATAAGTAATTAAGAAACGGAATGTTCTAAAGTTGTTAATCCAAATGTTAGAATTTCCTTTCTCATAAAAACCTCAAAATATGCAATTATATTACTCTGCGTAAGATTACAAATTACTGTCCATTCTCTGGGATTTTTTTCTGAGCTTTGGGGAGATTTAAAAGGGATGATATTCGTATAAAGACTCGATAAGTCTAAGACACTTGTACGATTCTGTTAGGTAGATTTTGTACTTGGAAGTGTGGTCAAAATAGATTGTCAAGTATGTATCTATTACTCGAGTTAGCAAATTGTAAAAAAAAACTAAGTATTGCATTTGTCAACTACACTTAAACATTTACTCTGTTATCTTAGAATAATATTATATCAATTGCACTTTATTTACATTTCTTTAGAACATAATCCTTATAAATGAATTTTTAACTTGTAAGATATTGGGGATCATAATGATATAAGTGTATGGTTTTTGTTCGTAATTGTATTGCTCACGAAGGTATGTTGTTTAGCAGTTAAGGTTTAAAGTATTGCGATCTTTTTTGTTTAACATGTTGTTTAATTTATCATTAACTTGTTTATAGCTACATCTCAAATATTATGAAATTATGACTCGTTTTGTTGTTTACATGAGCGTACATTATTTTGTGGAACGTTTTTAATCAGTGTCAGTCTTACTCGTACTCGCATATTGTATCCCTGAACTATGAATGTATTATTTATAAAACAATAACGTAATAGCTTCTACTGCGCTCTTGTTAAAATACAACGAGTAAAATGTTTTAAAGGGCCTATACACTAGTATCTGACACAACAGACTGTTATCTGTCATCGTGAATTGCCTATCTCATGGGGCGACGCGATTCAAATGCCATCAAGGTGACGATGCTACTATTTGTTAAAGATATAGATTCATCAACAATACGGCTAGAACGTCACCTTAGGTCGGATTTCCACTAGAATGTCTGCAATACGGTATGTTCCATGTCTTATTTCCTTTCAAATAAATATACTACAATTAGAAGACAAAATGTGCCTATGTATGTAGCCTAGCGGTCTAGTCGAAACCCGACTTATTAGCTAAACGATTTTAATGTTACCAATGCACTCGTATATGTATAGAACAATAGAATTTATATAAAATAGGCTATAAATGCGAGTTCGTTCATTTGTTTGGGTTTGGGCGCGGTTCACACCCTCGCATCTTTTATAGTTACAATATGAATCATAGTTTGGTGGTAGTGTTAAGCAATTTTACGAAATAAATGTGTCTATTCATATCTCGCATCGTCTACAGACAGAAAATGCTTCGTACCAAAACGTCGCCTCGACGTTCAATCTAAAAACTATTTAGACTGACTCCGCAAAGATGCGAGAGCGGTAGCGTTCGATGTTATCACTGTAATATAAATGGGTATTCGTTTCCGACGATTGTGTTTATAAAAAATAAAATGAATTACTGCCATTAAAATGTTTTATTAGTCCATTCATTATTAATCTATCAAAATTGTAAAAAATATGCTTAAGATTAGGAGGTAATGTCAAAGATGGCTTCGATGTTGTGTTGAATGTCTTTGTCGTTGGCCACATAGGGCGTGCCGCGCGCGGACGCCAGGCGGCGTGCGGGTGCTTGTAGGAGCTCGTCGTTGGCGCACAGCGCGCGAAGGTGCCACCACGCCGCGCCGTACGAGTAGTCCAGGATCGCTTTGAAGAAGTTCACCGCTAACGTCTGGAATAACATTTATGTGGGCGTCAGACGAATTTGTGTTGACATCGCGTTGAATGTCAGGAAAAAATGAATACAGATCGTAGTCTTTTAGCCATATTAGGGATGTTTCCTGGGTAAAAAAGCAAGAGTTTTAATTAGTCCGTCAGTTAGCTTATCAAAAACTACTCGACACGTATTTTTCATTTTTTAAAACAAATGAAAATGCAAAGAGATAAAGCGTGACAAAGTTCTAAAGTAAAGGCCCGTGACGTTAGTGAGTGCGTAAAAGTGCAGCACTTCGTGACGTCGCGCGGAACTTCAACGCCCTATAACTTTGTAATTATTTGTTAGATTGACAATTCAAAATAACGTCCAATATTTTTTTAGGAAACTAGCCTTTTCTAATAGTTTTTTCGCTTTGGGGTTATTTTTTATATTTAGTTCCTTACGCTTAATTTATTTAGGGGCCAAGTCTAACGATACTGTACGTAGTAGGATTGTTATAGTACTATCTATTGGCTTGTAGAGTTCTAGGCTGAATGTATGTTAGAAAGGTATGACATCGTTGCGAGCGAGGGCAGCGAGCGCGGCGATCTGCCGTAGGTAGACGGCGCTGGAGCGTCCTTCAAGAGACAACAAGAAACTTACTGACCTGTAAAGTCTTGGGCTGCTTGTTGGATAAATACGCGTCAACGGCAGTCATGGCGTCATCGAGCGACGCGTCTTGCAAGCACAGTGCACGGAGTGCGATGGCAGCAAGGCGAGGTAGGCCGCACCGGAGGGGTAATCTAGCCCACGTAGGTAGTTCAAGATACTACAACAGACTCGCACTGACCTGTAGTCTTGGGCTGCTTGTTGGATAAATACGCGTGTACAGCAGTCATGGCGTCATCGAGCGGCGCGTCTTGCAGACACAGATGTACGGCGAGCGAGGGTCGCCTCGTTACCCTCTGGAGAGTCACGTAGTTCAAGATACTACAACAGACCCGCACTGACCTGTAGAGTCTTGGGCTGCTTGTTGGACAGGTACGCGTCGACAGCAGTCATGGCGTCATCGAGCGGCGCGTCCTGTAACCGCAGGTGCACGGCGAGCGAGGGCAGCGAGGCGAGCGCGGCGATCTGCAGCAGGTAGGCGGCGCTGGAGCGGTAGTAGGAGCCGGCGTCCTTCAGGTGGCTGTCCGCCGCCGCCTTGCGGAGCCACTGGTACAGGCGGGGCAGCACCTCCCTGCGAATATGAAATATAAAATGAATTTAATCCGAACCAGTTAACGCTTTTTCTTGATGTTAATTCGTAGAGCCCGAAGTTTGAGATAGACTCATTGGCATCGATATATTTTAGATTTTTTGGGTCTAAATAATTTCAGACCCTAATCACTTGAGGTATAATGAACTTTGCTTTGGAAAGGTTTGGTTTGGAAAGGTCTTTGATTGATACACTACAGGCTGTTTTGTTGTGGCGTAAGAAGCTTATTATGATTGTTCACTTATTGAAATCAATGTAAATGAGCATTGTAACATACTTGACGCATCTGCTGAGGATGAAGTCTTTGGAGAGCTCGGCCATCGCCACCAGCAGTGACAATGCCCGCCGAAGGACTACGGGCTCCTCTGTTTCAAACCTAAAAATTCAAAAGAAAACATGATTTATATTATCAGTTTCGATAGTAGGAAATATTTTCAGTGCACCAGTCACTGGAGAATTGCCCATGCAGGCTGCTGCTTGCTAACCAGCCAATTTGGGGAGGATCTATGATGTTCAGCATGTGACAGTCTTGTTGGTTGAAATGATGATGATAGTCATGTATTAGTACAAGCAACTTTCATCTAGTGCTAATACAGTGAAGAATACACCGTGCACTACACTTTGCTCATGACAGTCGCCATGCTGAGAGTGGTAGCGCTAAAGCAATTGTTTTAACGCGCTCGCCCAACGGTCACCCAGCGTACCTGGCGACTAGCGGCGCCCAGGCGAGGTGCACGAGCGGCAGCAGCTGGTCGTCGCGGTCGCGCAGCAGCCGCAGGCCGGACTCCAGCACCTGCAGCGCCAGGATGGCGTCGTCGCGCGGACACGACGCCGAGAAGTGTGCGCAGCGCTTCAGGATCGCGATGAGAACGGTTATGTGCTGCGGTAATGGCGGTTTCTCTTCTGTTGTGAGAAAAAAGTTACACGTTATTTAATCCATTCACTGTGTTTCATGAACGACAACAATAAGATAATGGGTGTCTATTTGTGGTGCATGGAACTGTCAAAGCGTCAACTGAAAGTCGGTGATGCCTCACCTAACATTTTAATATTGCGCTCATGGACCTATAAAAAAAGTCGGACGGAGTCTCATCAACAAAATACTGTGACATTAGGATACACCAGCTTGCCTGTACGTACAGGCCGGCACGCACACATTCACACCCTGTTACACCACTTCGAGAGCAAACTTCACACAGTTGACACATTTAAGCAGCGAAAAAACAACACGAATACGACATGTCTTGTGTGATGAAATTGTGTAAAAACCGTTCTGTTCGAACAAACAAAAATTAAGGAATCACATTTCACAGGTAAAATAATAATCCAATCACTTATTTCCCGACATTAAAATATTGAAATTAATTGAAATCAAACGTCATTCACTCGAAAAAATAATACGTCAAAGACCAGTGTTCTCAGTTATTTACGTGGGAAAATTACCCGAAATATGGGAAATTAATAATGATTTTAGGACTTTTTAGTTATGTATTACGCATACTATGGAAATAAAATAATTTATCATAATTATTGTGTTTTAATGGGATATATTTTCATAGGCAAATTTGATCCTTCCCAAAAATGTGGAACTGCGAAATTCAAATTTTCTTACATTGATTGCAAGTCAGTGTCAGGTTGTATGTTAAAAAATATCTATCAGAGATAATAATAATATATTGATGATGCATAAGATTATGATTATAATGTACACAAGATTCGTAATTTGTAACTGCGTGAATTATTTTTGATCAACATTATGTACATACCCTGACACACTGACTTGCAAACAATGTAAGAAAATTTGAACATTGAAAATTTCGCGCCTACCTCAACGCATACACCTTTCATCCTTTTAAAATGGCACGGAATAATTCTGTCTACATTTCCAAGTAACATCTGCCGATCTATGTTTTTCTTAAAATAAATGGGTAAAATGTTTTGGCTAACATGGCATCCCTAAATTCACTCACACAATAGACAAACGCCAAAATTTTGCGTCACAGTTTTGTTGTAGCGCGAGTTCCGTCCGCCTTTTTTTATAGGTCCATGATTGCGCTTTATTGATTACAGAATGACAGACAAGAATGTAACCGTAAAATGTGACAACCTAACTGATCGTTATCCAATACACGTCTTTTTGTTGATCTTTACACAGAAAGTCTTTATTTTTGTTCGGACTTCCTATTAATCATTCATTATAAACACCGTCGCCCTCTTAAGTGACCACAGTCATGTCAACACCACAAGACTAACAAACTCAAGTCTTACCTGTAACCTTGTCATCATAGTCTAAAATATCTTCTTCTTTCTTCTGTTGATCTTCTTTAAACATCTCCTCCACACTCTTTCCAGTCTCTTTCTCAAACTCTTCATTACTCAATAACTTTTCAGCCTCTTCAGTGTTTTTGATATATTCTCGTAAATCGACGAATAAATCTATTTGTGCACTTGTGTCATCGTCTGTTGTAGTTTTCTGTGGCTCTTCCAAGGGAAACCACTTGTAAAGGCAATCCACAAACGCATAGAACACTTGCAAATATGCGTAAAGATTTCTTTCGTAATATCTATCACAACTTTGGACTAGTACCTGAAAAGTAAATGGTGCATGATTTTTAAATCTGAATCTTAGGTCCCTTTATTTAAAATTTAAATAATTCTTCATCCCATGATTTAAACATTAAATTTAAAAAAGTATACTTACATCATTTACAATGCCGTAAAGGCAGTCTTGTATGCTAGAGTCACTGTACTCCATCACTACTGAGAGTATTTGTAGCGCTGACTCAGTGTTCCATGACTGAAATAACAACGTATAATGTAAAACAGACATCAAAAAATCAAAACATCATAAATGCAAAAGTTACTCCTTTTTTTACAAAACTGGGTACAATCAAATATCACTCAAAAAGTAACTAATGTAAAATCAATTCACCATGATTTTACCCTACTCGACGTAAGCACAGCATGCAACTTAAAGGATCTAAGAGATGGACATAATAAGCCACCTTATTGTGTCACAAAAATAAATGTTGCAAGGGGTGAAATAGGTGATGAGTTTGCTTAGAGAAATATCTCTTCGAGTCGAGATCGAGTCTATGTGCTTAGGTAAGTATTATGTGTTTGAGTGTTTACGTATGTAGGCTAGAGTATGTAACAGACTGTAAAAGCTATCCATGACGTACCTTCTTGAGCCTGACTGTGACCTGGTGCGTGAAATAGTCCGCGTTGGCGGCCACGAGCGCGGCGACACTGTCATGGCCGCCCGCCTCCGCTACCGCCTCGAGCGCGGCCAGGCCCGACACGTGGAGAGCTTCGTGCTTGCTGCCTGCAGAATACGGCGTTATTTGACAATACGGTTTTTGAGAAGGAAGAACCCGTCATTAACGCTTCCTTAATACTTGGGTTTTAACAGTTTAGGGACCCCTACACTATCGTCTTTCGATTGTCGTTGTCATGCCAGCGTCCACACAACGTCTTTTTCAGACAAGTAACTGTGGGCTCAGCGTTTGCATCGGGGCCGCATCAATGCTGCGTAGGCGCTGGCGAAAAACGCTGGTATGGAGTAAGGCGGCTATCATATAAAAAATCACGCGCGCGGACGCGTTGTCAGTGTGAAGTGTCGCGCGTGTTTTCTATACAAACTGAGGTACTTGCATACAATGATTAAATCTGTCGCCCCACGCTCCGCGGCGGAGCGCGGTGCAGTGTGGTAACCGCATTAGTCTTAGTTGAATTTAACCTTTGTTTCACCTGGAAAATAAAATAAGGTTGGGTTGCACCATCTTACTTTAACAGTAACTATAACAATAACCGGCACATTTTGTATGGAGCTTGACAGATTTTTGACGTTTGTCAAAGTTAAATTGAGATGGGGAAACTCAGCCTAAGTGTTCTCTCTCTCTCTCCTGCACTCACCCACTCGCTCCAGCAGCATGGGCAGCGTCCGCAGCAGGTAGGGCTGGAAGCGGCGTCGCAGGCGGCGCGCGACGAGCCCGACGCCGGCGGCGGCGAGGCAGGCGAGCGCGGTGTTGTGCTGTGCGCGCGCGAGGGACGCGCACTTGTCGGGCTCGCGGCGCGCGGCGGGCCGCGGCGCGTCGTAGCTGATGCCGGTGTAGCGCGTCTCTACCGCGCCCTCGAATAGGCCTGAGACAATAGACGTGTTGACACCACCAATCAATGAGGGTTTTCGCGATTGAAAAATCCGCCAGATGGCAATACGTAGACGCGAGGTCCAAATGCTGCATGATTGGTTATTTTTGACATGACATTGACAGATATGTCAAAATCCACCAATCATGGACCTCCCGTCTACGTTTGCCATCTGGCGGATTAGACATATCTGTCAATGTCATGTCAAAAATAACTAATCATGCAGCATTTGGACCTGGCGTCTACGTATTGCCATCTGGCGGATTTTTCAATCGCGAAAACCCTCATTGACGTACCTTTTAAAACTGTCGAAATGAAACTATCCCATAGATTTTGTATGGCACTAAAAACAAGTGACGTCACTATTTTGTCAACTCAAATAAAGTACTTTTTTCAATTACAATGCGACCAAAAATCTACAATTACAGGTAATTTAAAACGTAATTTACAGGTAATTTAAAATTAATTAAGTTTTTAAGACCAGAATGAAGAGCCTTTTTAGAAAAGTTGTGATTTCGAATTATTGTGGAATGGTGTCAATTTGTCTATTTATAGACTTTTTACACATTTAAGACCAGACCAACCTATATGCACTGCTAATGGATAAGTCAAGTTTTACTTTATTCCTAAACTTTGCACTAAGAAAAATGAATCCCCCTCGATTAGCCAAATACGCAAAAATATGAAAAACCTAAACTGCTCACGCCGTCACTGCATGCTGGTGGAAAATACAAAGTGTAGAGGCTATTGGAGAAAAAAGGTGTTGGTAATGCTGTAATCCCCGTTGCTCAGGGGAAGTGGAAGAAGATTTGTGGGACATCTGGACACACCAAATATTGTGGATTGCGGGGGGCGCCATTACCCAAAATATCATCGTCTAAATCCCTCCTCTTCCCCTGACGTACGACTCAGTGTTTATATCTCTCCACTCAGTTAAAATTGTGCAATTTAAGTGTGGAAGTCACTAAGTCATATACAGGGTGTTAGGTAAATGGGTATATGAGCCGACACTAGCCCATGTTAACATAGGCATATAAATGGTATGGTGAAGTCAGAAAATTGATATCTTCATTTTAATTTTTTTTATTTTCATACAAATCGGATTTTATAAAATTTATTTTGTATGAAAATAAAGGTCACTTTGAACCTTGAAGACTCACTTAGCTCCTATGAAAACGCTTACTAACCTGGCACACTGTCCTTCACCCACGCTCGCGGGTTATACACAGACACGTCCAAGGTCTCCGCTGACGTCACGGGCGCCTCACCACTCCCTACTTCGAGCGGGAGATACCACACATCTTCTTCTATGTACGTGTCTAATATCCGTCGTAAAAAACTTTCTGTTGAGTTTGGACCTGCGAAAAAGACAGTTTACCATAAATTAGAAACTTAAGGGCATAGACAACTTCCACGGTAACACATCTCGGAGAATTATACAATCGCAACTGATAAGATCGAGCGCCGATTTTTTCAGATGGTGCAGTAATAAAATATGGCTGATACAAGGGCCAAAATTGCGGTGGGAAAAAAATTGCAGTTCGGGTGAAACTATTCCCTAATGTTTTGTAGATTTAAATTATTAACGCTAAAACCAGTGCAGAAAATAATACTTTTCATAATTTTACATGTCTCGTAAGACACAGCAATAAATTCGTCGTCAATGGAAAGTCCCAGAACGCACCTGCAGCCATATGGTTCATGACGTAAGCAATCTCGCATCCTCGCTGCTCTCTGAAAATTTCCAGCAGTCGGTCAAGGATCAGCTCAGCTCACTCGGCGCCGCCCAGGAGGCCGCAGGTCTCTTGCAGTCGCCGCTCGCACTAGAGTCCAGGTGTTAGATCATTCATCGTCAATGGAAGGTTCTTAACTCACCCGCAGCCATGTGGTTCATGACGTAAGCAATCTCGCATCCTCGCTGCTCTCTAAACATCTCCAGCAGTCGGTCGAGGATCAGCTCGGCGCCGCCCAGGAAGCCGCAAATCTCTTGCAGTCCAGAGTCCAGGTGTTGGATCATTCATCGTCAATGGAAGGTTCTAAACTCACCCGCAGCCATGTGGTTCATGACGTAAGCAATCTCGCATCCTCGCTGCTCTCTAAACATCTCCAGCAGTCGGTCGAGGATCAGCTCGGCGCCGCCCAGGAAGCCGCAAATCTCTTGCAGTCCAGAGTCCAGGTGTTGGATCATTCATCGTCAATGGAAGGTTCTAAACTCACCCGCAGCCATGTGGTTCATGACGTAAGCAATCTCGCATGCTCGCTGCTCTCGGAACATCTCCAACAGTCGGTCGAGGATCAGCTCAGCACACTCGGCACCACCCAGGAGGCCGCAGATCTCTTGCAGTCGCCGCTCGCACTAGAGTCCAGGTGTTGGATAATTGAGGCCGTCAGCGCAAAAGTGACCTAAGCTTAACATATTAGTATGGAGCCTAAACTTGGTTAGGCCACTTTTATACTGCTTCGTAGGCAAAAACAATGCGCGCAAAAAGAATGTTTAACTAAGGGTGAAACTAGGGATAGGCCGCTTTAGCATCAAAATTTATTAGGTTTTGAATAAATTGCAATAGATAAGTACGAATATGAAAAATGTGGGTTAGGCCACTTTTGCGCTGACGGCCTCAATTCATCGTCAATGGAAGGTTCTAAACTCACCCGCAGCCATGTGGTTCATGACGTAAGCAATCTCGCATCCTCGCTGCTCTCTAAACATTTCCAGCAGTCGGTCGAGGATCAACACACAGGAGGCCGCAGATCTCTTGCAGTCGCCGCTCGCACTAGAGTCCAGGTGTTGGATCATCATCGTCAATGGAAAGTTCTAAACTCACCCGCAGCCATGTGGTTCATGACGTAAGCAATCTCGCATCCTCTCTGCTCTCTGAACATTTCCAGCAGTCGGTCGAGGATCAGCTCAGCACACTCGGCACCACCCAGGAGGCCGCAGATCTCTTGCAGTCGCTTCTCGCACTCCGGAGAGTCCAGGTGTTGCAGCTTACACCACGACGTGGTGTTGGGTGACGACGACATCCCTGGTGCAAGATAGACTAATTCAGGTATTAGTTAACGGGAAATGGTTATATGGCGTGATTGTGGATTTAGTATGGGGTGAAAGCAATGTTTTAACCCTTTAACTGGTATAGAGAAAACCTTATGTTTTCTCAATAAGATTCAAAATATGGTGGCAACAATTCTGCCACAACCAGGTAAAGGTTTAAAAGGGGTTGCATGAAGGGTTTAAGACTTTATTTACAGAAAAGAAAGCTTTTTATGATCGTGATGTTATTCCTGGAGTCGCAGCGGTGGGAACGAGAGGTGGGAATAATCCAGTTTTGATGATGTGGTGATGATGAAGACGTTATAAAAATGGTATGCAATGAATTGATTTATAAAGCGGTGGGTTTAGTGAGTGCTTAAGTTTAAAGCTCGCATGTGGCATTATGGCTCAGTATGTTAACAATACAAATATAATACAAGCTCCCATAACAGTACAAAGTGCTTCCACTTTTCTCCTAAAAAAAGGCGAACATCAGGCCTCCCTAACCAGTCTGGCTAGCGTGCTTCAGGCGTCGATAAGTGTAAAGTACGGCCAACTAGCAGCGATACAAAAGATCGATACGACTGTCGAGTTGACAATACATTCTGCCTCTTCCCATCTTGTGTATTTGTCGTGATATCTCGTTCTCCCGCCAAAGTCAGACGGGTTCACTCATGACATTGGGTTTGTTTACATTTGGTATCGCTTCTATCGTTGGCCGTACTTTAGCCTAAATATTTCATTTACTTCTGGTACTAGAGAGGGTCGTGCTCTTGCACCTGGATGCTATAAGCTAGTAGTATAGTACCTCGTGTTGTGAGCGCGATGGCACGCGCGCGCTATGTTGTGGTGTAGTGAAATCTGGTAACTATCGAGAGTTGTGCTTCTGTACCTGGATGCTATGAGCTAAAGTTCGGTCGCCGAGCAGATAGAATTTCGTCCAATGATCCCAAGCTACCCATCCTTATCACTCGCACGTAATTATATTGCTGTTGCGACTGTGCGGCGGGCGGCCGCAGTGAGTGTGCGAGCGTGATAGCAATATAATTTCACGCGAAATTCTATCTGCTCGGCGACCGGACTTAAGTCTCTAGTATTTCATGTCGTTCTCGGCCCCTGGATGTTAGTGTAGTGTGTCATCGCGGCGCGGCGTGGCCAGCGTCACGTAGCACAGGCGCGCCATTTTGTGGTGACACTGGCGTCTGGTGCTGCTGATTTGAAGATGATAGTTGATAGTACTAAATCACCAGCTATAATCGCATCCCCTCCCCGTGACATGGCATATCAGGGGCCTGCCTCCTCCTGAAAAAGAACCCTAGATACCCCAACAAATGTAGTGTATCACCGCGGCGCGGCGTGGCGTGCGTGTGTAGCGCAGCGGCGGCCCGCAGCGCATGGCCCAGGCGCGCCATGTTGATCCTAGATGCGCCATGTTGACCCTAGATGCGCCATGTTGACCCCAGTTGCGCCATGTTGACCCCAGTTGCGCCATGTTGACCCCAGATGCGCCATGTTGACCCTAGACACGCCAATAGTGTAGTGTCTCACCGCGGCGCGGCGTGGCGTGCGTCTGCAGCGCGGCGGCGGCCAGCAGCGCGTGGCACAGACGCGCCATGTTGTGGTGCACGCTGAGCACGCCGCTGAGACGCTGCGGGCGGCCCGAGTCTACTAAGATCTGGATGTAGCCGTGCAGCAGGTTTAATGCGTAGAGCTTGCGGCCCGTGTCTGCAATGAAAGGCACTGGTTACCAGCATAGTCAACTGTTAAGTTTTTGGGGAGTAAGTAGGGCGTTCAGCCACGAGTGTTGCAGGAGCTTGCTAGCAGCGCACTCACACGTTTATTAGTCGTTACGTTTCTGGGCGCGCGGGGTCGCAGTCACGCATAAATAACATCAACTAAACAGTCGATCATCATAAAAGGCCATTGAGGCCCTGCCAGATAGGACCACTAGAGAGAGCCCCTATCACTCGTTAGTGACTAATGCCCGTTTTCACAATCAATCCCAAATTTTTAAGTGACCCCTATGTCAACAAAATTCATGTTATGTGTTACCATAGGGGTCACTTAAAGACACTGAATGGCATTGCACACACCAAAAATTATGGTAGCCCTCATCAATGAGGACTAAGTATAGCCAAGCAAATGAATTAAGGATAATAAGACTATTCTCCGACTAGGTGGACTGATGATCTGGTGAAGGTCGCGGGAAGTACCTAGATGCGGGCAGCGCAATACCAGTTGTAGTGGAAATCCTTGGGGGACCACGTCATTTGGCTGAAACGAACAAATGAACAAGACTTTATTATGATGACTCACCAATATTATTCAGTATCCGTGGCAGTCCATTGAGCATCACAAAGAGATTCTCAGCCAGATTATCCATAGTTCTATGGTGTTTGTCCGGCCCAGCGGCCGCGAAATGCGCACGCACCGCCGCGGCGCAGTATGTGGAGACGGCGGGGTACTCGTCCTTTGATAGGGAGATGAGGATGTCCAGCACTATGGGCATGGACGGCTGCATTGTCCTGGAATAATGATTGAACAGTCTAAGACCGTCTTCGGTTGAGTTTTTGGCGGTCAAGCTGTAGATCCTGCCTAGGGATGTTATGGATATGTTTTGGTTATCTGTGCTTTATAATGCAATTTGCAATAGTCGTCCAACACGGTTCATTCATGGCCGCACACTTTACATCGAATAAAAAGTAATAAAAAAAATACTAGATGGTATTATAAAGGTAAATCAGGTTGTTATGCCTTTACATAGTATAATGCTATACAAAAAACTATTTTTATTTAAATTTAATTAAACTGCCTACATTCGAAACTATCCGAAACTTTTGAATCGGTTACGGTTTCGGATATTTTTTATATCGGATATCCGAAAGTTTCGGTTACGGATATCCATAACATCCCTGATCCTGCCTACACAGGAGTTGCAGCGTTGAGAATAGTCCCGAATCCATCAGAGGCAGATGGAGGATTTGACTCGATCAGTGCTGCCGTTGTTAGCTTGTGAGGAACCACTCACATCTCTGCTCTCATCACACCAGTGATATCCGCTTATGTAGAGTGATGACGTGATGTATGAATAACGACATACACTTCGAGTATAGAGGCTGAATCGCGTTTGTATTGCTGCAAAAAGATCTAATGTTGTGGAAGCAACGAGCATTGACAGACTCGATGTACTCCTGCCAACGGCTAGGGCTGCCACTGGTGATCATGGTCAGTCCCGCGACCGCTGCCAGTCCCTAGCCCACTCACACGGTGCACTCGTTGAGCACGCGCGCGCAGTAGACGGCCCGCTCGCGGCGCACGCGGTAGTGCTCGTGCGAGCGCAGCGCCAGCAGACACTTGGTCATGGTCAGTCCCGCGCCCGCTGCCAGTCCCTAGCCCACTCACACGGTGCACTCGTTGAGCACGCGCGCGCAGTAGACGGCCAGCTCGCGGCGCACGCGGTAGTGCTCGTGCGAGCGCAGCGCCAGCAGACACTTGGTGATCATAGTGAGCTTCTCGCCCGCCATGGCGTACCACTTACTGGACCGCTTCGGTTTCTCGTCTTTCAGCTTCTCTGCAATGTACACAATAAGTTTTTGTTAGTATACAGCAGGACAAATATTGGCAAACATGTATTGATTTTTTGCTCATGTTTCTCTGACACTGATTTCTTATTCTTACAAGACCATTACTTATACGGACCATTGAATATATTGTACTTTCAAATTTTATTATCATGCATCTCAAATTCTGAAATGGGCAGTTGACGCAATTCAAGATTTTTTATTGCTTGGAAATGAATATAAACCACTGTTCAAGGTTGTCTCCTATCTACATTTGAATAACAAATTGAATAGGGGATCACAGCATTTTGAATAACAATAAGAACATCACAAACCGCATTTCGACGGCTGTTAAAAAGGATATTAATCGATAGGTGGCGTCAACTACACAATCCAAAACTACAAATCTCTAACTAATACAACATCAAAACGTAAATATTCTAAAATTATCATTTACCCTTACAGCTTACTTCAGTGTTATCTTGCGCTTGCTGTTCAGTGAATATCTTGAAGAAATCGTCGCTGCTACCGTCTGGTTTCTTCGGCAGCAGTCTGTCCTGCATAGTGAGGCACAGGATGCGGTGAATGGCCTCTACAGCCGCCTGCAATGTCGCGCGGTTAGTTGCTGCTAGTCTATTTACGGAGGCTAATATACTCAATGGTGCATCCGGCTCGAAGGACTATGTGAAAACAACAGAGCTCAGTCGAGGGAAGCTAGGTTGCTTTACTCTGCTTAAAATCAACTTCGCAAACAACGTTATGTTGTTCCCAATATAGTCAATTTCATACAAGATTTAGCTACATGTTTAAGGGGTCCTTCTTAGATATGCTATAGAAAAAAAATAGTCGGTTCAGTCAGGCAATACATAGACGCAATTTCCTTGTCCGACCATAGTTTTCAACCACCACCAGCGCCTCCAGTCGGCTCATGAAAGCGCGCCTTCTTGGCGGTCCTGGCGATGACACTGTCCACCCTACTCACCACAACCACGGCATGCCCAGGGTTGTTGGGACACAGGGCAACGTCTTGCAATGCCACCAGGACACCGGCAGGATGCTGAACAGCATATCCACCACTAGTGCCTCCAGAGTCGGCCCAGAAGGCGTTCCTTGTCGGCGGTTCTTTCGATGACTCGCTGCCTTCTCTACTCACCACAACCACGGCATGCCCAGGGTTGTTGGGGCACAAGGCGACGTCCTGCAACGCCGCCAGGACGCCGGGCAGGATGCTGGACAGCATGTCTACCACCAGAGCCTCCAGAGTCGGCTCGGGGATGCGCGCCTTGTCGGTGGTCAGCTGAGGATGGATCGCCGTGTGCGCCATCAGGCTGTTCAAAGCTGATAGTCTGTAGGAAACAAACTTATTTGGAGTCTCGCAGGGGTTCCCAAAGTGGGGGGCGCGCCCTCCAGGGGAGGCACTAGGTTCTTTAATGGGGGGCGCGGGCTATCTGTGTAGTTAAGTATTAAAAAACCTGCGACCCCTGAGAGGATACATTCCAGACTGCTCGATACAACCAATAAATAAAATCTGGACTGGAGGATGGGGTTCGAAAGGGGGCGGTTTGGGAACCCCTGCTCTACAGCAATAGGCTGAGATTTGTGTCGCAAGAGTACTGAAGGACCTGCTAGCTTGACTGGAAGTTGTTGTTTAAAACTATGCTAGTTTTGTGATCTATTTTGTTACCGATTTTTTGAAATTAGGCATTTCAATGAGCTCTTTACTAATCTCAGTATATTAATCTTACAGTGGTTTAATAAACATTGTAGGAACTAGAATACAAGTGTTATTTCATATCAGTCATGTTTTTGATAATATCCCTGTAGCTGGAAGCCTGTTAGGTACCTATCTCTCACCATGTTCACCAAAGAAACCAAAGTGCATGATATGAAGTTGAAGGTACTTCATAATAAAGCTACCGTCAATATTAATAGCAATTATCGCAACACATATTATTAGCAAAGCCCAACCAATCACCAATATCGGATTATTGAATCAAATACCTCAAGGCTCGATGTTTCTCCAGCTTAGCAACGTGTACTGACACAAACACCGCCTGTGCCAGTAACGGCACTTGAGTTCTGAGCATTTTCTCCCTAAACCTCTTGTCGAGGTTCACTTGTAGGACCGTGAGACACTTCATCACACTGTGCTTCAGCTCTTCAGGCACTTCAGCAACTAAAACATTACTATATTAGAATTCTGTTCTACTAGTTAATGTACTAGCGAACAAAAAATGAAAAAGAAAATAAATGGGAGTATAATAACTAATTACAGCTTTAATACTTCTATGAATAGATAGCAAACCTTCATATTTTGACTCTGCCAGACTGTACAGTATACAATTAATATGAATTAATTGAATTTATAACTACAAATGCATAAGTATAGTGACAACCTTTAACACTGCAGTACACGCGCCCCTTTTTTTACACGAATACACGCGCGGCCTACTCTGGTAAGCCAATTTAAAATCACTGTAAATCAGTTTGTAAGCAATTTATGAATGTAATTATTATGTAAATGATAAAAGTGTTTATTATAGTTATTTTATAATCAAAGTTTCTTTCATAACTATTTGGGATCAAACATTATAAACAGATTTAAAAGTTGTAAATTTTTTGGACCAAAAATTGCACTCTGAGACCAATGTTAACAAAATAAAATTGACTGAAAAAATATGATTAGTTTTTTATCTGTCATAGTATTCATGACTTTCTACTGCCTGGTACACGGTGTAAATCCATTTGTTGCAAGTCTTTCATAATTTTTTTGTCGAGTGATTTCGGGCTTTTGAGTAAACTCGCAGTTTTGACGACTAATTTTAGAAAAGTGCGCAGACTCTAGCGACCCAAGCTTTACTGGCTTACTGACAAATTTAGTAAACGAGGCTTTCCTGGAATGCCGGCTCTCTGGCGCAAGTTTTCAAAAAGTTATAGCGTAAAATCTTACCCTGGTCTACTATAGTAGTCCGCGCGTGTACTCTAGTGTTAAGTGTAAACCTGCTTATACTAGTTTTTTCCCCGTCTTCAAAATAACCTTACAACACAACAGCAGTACTCAAATGTGACAGGAATTGTGGTTTAAAATATCTCACTCAGTACAATCAAAGTTGTCTAATTTGTATAATTTCATGTTCTTCTTAGGAGAATCTGGACTGTGCTATAAAAATAAAATAAAAAGGGTGGTAGGATGAACAAAAAATAAAAAAGTAAAAATTACGCATGCCAGGTTTAGAGTTGTCGAAGACCATGGACAGCAGAGTGGTCTCAATCTTATAGCACATGTCATAGCTGTTCACGACTACCTTCTCCAATACCACTCGCATACCGTCTACCAATCGCCATTGGATCTCAAACTTCTTTCTGCAAAGATCAAAAACAATAAATAGCAAATTATGAGATAGTTTCGTTAGGTTCTACAGGATCAGCAGGGTATATTTTTTACGGTTAACTTCAAAGCTTAAGTTCCAGGAAAAAGCACAAAGTTGGTAGGGATTAGGAGAGTTATCAAACATAAGGTAGATTGGGAGCAAGTTAGTAAATTCATTTTTTGCTAATAAAATCGAATTAATCAAGACAAAATACATTATTGTCTTTTAGAGGTAGCTTCAACAAGACTATTCATCATGCAGGAGGCACAGACCATAAGTAGGAACAAAGAAGTTATTCTTGAAAACTGTACTTTGATAGGTAATTGGGATTTGACAAAATCATGGTTACTTACTCTATTTCAGTAGACTTCAGATGAGTGATAAAAGGGAACAGCAGGTATTGCTGCAGCTCTTGCATCACATCCCTCTTCAGCTCTGATACGCGAGCTACAAAGTTGGATATGCTCTCAGCAGACGGGCACACCATAACAATATCACACACAGGCTTTATCTTGGAAAAGGACTCCTTTATATCCGCGTTCATCTTGGAGACTTCACTATCCGTGCTATAAAACAAACAGTTTTTGCGTTTATAGTCAAGAAGTTTTCACAAAGAGTACGTTAGGCAGCATTTCAACATTTTTCAATTACATTGGAGGTGAGGGCATTTTTGAAAATTTTATATTTCGCAAACCCTCGGTCATGAATTCTGCAAAAGTGCAAACAAAGGTTTTTTTTAATTCACTATCACTTTTGTCAATCAAATGATTTACGGCTTTGGCTGTGGTTTCTTCTTATTTTTTAGCCCTGTTGCATTTGAGCCTAGCCTAGGTCTAATGCAGTCTAATGTCAGTGTCACATTGGTCAATCGGAATCTCCACCAAAGAAAGCCCAAGGCAAACTCTGAGTACTAATAAAATAACTTGGTTAATTTTGTAACAGTCTTATTATTATAAACTATAATATTAGTCTATGTTATGTTTATTAATTTATAAATTAATTAAAATAATTTTAATAAATAAAAATAATTTCATGATTCGGACTAAAAGACGTGTTCTCTAGATAATTTTAAAAAAGGAATTTGTCATTGTTGTCAAAGTCAGATGTTCGTATTTTGGGGTTGATGACGGCGTTCCCCGAGCCGAATCAAACTCCGGTTAGATTTAACAATGTCTGTTTAATCGCAACGACAGTGCGAAGTGACTGCACTCCAAACAACGATAATACACGGGCGATGTTGTTACAACTTGTGTTACACAAAATACACTGCACCAGTGAGCATAAATTTACAATCCAAGTTCTTAAACAAGTTACGACCAAGTGAGTTGGTTGGAAGCCGCAGGAAGTGACGAAAAGGCGCCAAGCTTATCTGTCAAAGTCCAACTGACAGATTAGAGTTGTGATGCGTTCGGGAATACGAAATTTCCGAACGCCACACCATAAATTCTGTCAAATTTCTCAGAAAATAATGAAAGAAATAATTTAATTAAACTTAAAATTATGTGCTCATAATTTACTAAGTTATTTTAAATACTACAAAATGTTCTCGTTAATGAGACAGCGGGTCTTAAATAAGTGCCTCAAGATTTTGAGGTTAAGTATCGTAGACTTCAGCAACTTGCCTGATATAAAGAATTTGAACCTAGTCAGGACCGTGGAGAAGACTATTGATAACAACACGACCATCTTTATAGAGAGCCCTATACATGTGAAGGTGCAGCCTATCGATGTGAACGATATGAAGGCCCACAACAGGTTGACTATGACATTGTACAGTCAAGGCAAAGATACAAGTGATTTTCAAGTCAAACAGTCTTCTAAACGCCTAGAGCTACTGAACAAGAATGCATGCTCGGACCGGAACGACGTCTGCCTCATACAAGTGCCGTATCATCTGAAAGTTCAAGTCACCACCACTGACAGTGCTTCAGTTCACCTATCAAAGTTAGAAGGGGAGGAATTTGTAGTAAAGACACAAAAAGGAGCTGTTAAAGTTACAGATGTGAAAGCGCAGAATGTCAAGGTGGAAAGTGTGGAAGGTGAGCTTCAGACAGAAGGGAGAATACAAGCTGCCAATATTGACCTCAAAACTGGGCTCAATTCTGGTATAAACTGCAACAACATAATGGCTACGAATTTTAACGTGACCACACATGCTGGTCCAATAGCTGTGAAGTCCTGCTACAGTGATAAGTCACATTTCACCACACTCATGGGTAATATTAGACTGGATCACCTACATAGATCTGTAATGATAGATGTTATTCAACAAGGCAATCTACACATCACTGGCTTCTCAGGCAACCTGCAGGCTTCATTGAAGAGTGGGGAGGTGTACATGCATGCATCCCAGCTAATAGACAAGAGCAGCATCTTTATCCATGAGAAGGGCAAAGTTGAGTTACTAATACATGACATACTAAAGAATTTGCCAGCAACCAATCTGATAGCTGATAAAATAAAAGTTGATGACAAGATCCTGAAGCTTGGCAGGTTCATGGATGATGCACATCCAAAGAGGTTTAGGTTTGAGGGAGAACCACAAAATGAGTTGCACATAGTCTGTAAGAATGGCTCTATTGAATTGAAGGAGACAAACCTACCATTTATGGTGTAATTTTTATAATTACTATCTATTTACTATCACAGTATAGTAGATTGTGTTTATGCCTAGCACTGTGTGTATATGGAGGAACTACTATGAGTCAGCTGATGTTATTTTGTTTAACATGAAGTGGATATTAATTTATTTTGTTAAAACTTAAGCATTTTACTCTGTTTTGTTCATTTTAGTTTTATCAAAGAGTAACAGTTGGATATGCAAACCTACAGTAATGTTATGTGGACATTGAAAAGCATTTTAGTATCATTAAACATTTAGTTAGTATATCTGCATTTATGCTAAACATCCCAACTAATATTATAAATGCGAAAGTAACTCTGTCTGTCTGTCTGTCTGTCTGCCTGTTACGCTTTCCCGCTTAAACCTTGCAACCGATTTTGATGAAATTTGGCATAGAGATAGTTTGAGTCCCGGGAAAGAACATAGGATAGTTTTTATCCCGGTTTTTGAAACAGGGACGCGCGCGATAAAGTTTTTCTGTGACAGACAAAATTCCACGCGGGCGAAGCCGCGGGCGGAAAGCTAGTTGTATATAATATTATTTATAGTTCTAGATAATTTGTTTTGAAGCTGTAATCTAATCATCTTGTTGTGTCTTCCATGTACCATACATAACTGTTAATTAGTGTGTCAAGAAATTGCCATTTAGATGACTCTTTATTGTTATAACTAATTTTAATTAATACTTAGAATTTTATTAACTTCAAAATTTTACTGATTTGTATTATGAATTTTATGAATCTGCATCTAAACCTACATAATTTGATGCATTTATGGAAGAAGTTGTAGACAAGTCAATTAGTGACATGCTCATGATTTAAACTTGTATTAATTATGTATTTCAAAGATTTATTTTTGTAGTTCCTAGACATTGTAGAGAATTGCTTTTATGATATGTTTCCATATTGCTAGTCTTATATTCTGGTAGAGATAATAAATAACATATGAATATGTTTGGATATTCTAAATGTAGGTAATTAAATTATTTATTGTTGCAATTTGAATGTGTGTATGTAATCTAAAGATAAAAGTAATGTTGTTGAAAAATTTTATTATTAAAATTATGTCACAATAATTTAAGTGTCTTCATTAACAAAATAATTTCTATCAATTAATGATTCCTTTCATTTCGATATGTATGAAATGAATACATTTATGACTGGTTAAGTTCTGACTGGCCTTAAGTGATTAAAGATTAGTCTTCAATAAATGATTAGGCGTTAGTAATTAAGCTTGCGCTCGCTAATTAATTGTTCGTATTTGTTTTTTTAAAAGGCAATAGCTAATTGGGTGCAAAGATGAATGGATAGCGGGGTCCGCGGCGCCGGCGTCGCGCCGATAACGAGGCAGTTTATATGCCGCGCAGAGCTGCGCGCGCGTCAGTCGTCCCAGCCGCTTCGCCATGCCGGCCTGCGCGCCAGAATTCAGTCGCCTAGCGCGCTCTAACACAGAACTTATCTTTTCGCCGCGAGTTAAAAGATGCTCCCACCAACCGCCGCCATTCACGGCCCTTCGCCGCTCATTCTCCTCTACGTTCTCGCTCATCCCCGAGGAACGCGCCGTCTCGCCTGAGCGGCCGCCGCCGCTACCACGCGCCGTACGAATACTCACATGGGGACCCCGGCTGTGCCTGCGGCCGCTCTTCGCACTCCTCAGCTTCGTCTCCCACCCGGCCTGGAAACAAATTCTAGTGGTGTTACCGACGCTGTGGATCGCCGCCTCGCTGTTCATATTCTGGAAGTGTATCCAATGCCCACTCGGACTGCTGAAGATGTTCGGACGTGCTCTCAGCGCGAAGAATCCTAACAAACCCCGCACTGTACTCATCAGTGGGGGAAGTTCTGTTCAGGCACTGCATCTAGCGAGGAACTTCCACTCTGCTGGAGCCAGAGTGGTCGCTTTCGAAATTGAGGGTCAGTTTGCATTACTAAAATATTCTGCGGCTGTAAATAGATTCTATACGGTTCCAAGGCCCAACCCAGCTGATCCGTTAGCTTATGCACGAGCACTGAGGGAAATCGTTGATAGAGAATCGGTCGTGTTCTACGTGCCAGTAAGTTCTACGACCCCAGCATACTATGACGCGCTCGCGAAACCACACTTGGAGATAGTGGGATGCCAGTGCTTTGTGCCATGCGCCCGGGACGTGGTATCTCTGGATGATCCATTGGAATTGATACGAGTGTGTCGTGCAGCTGGCTTGCCGACTCCTCAATTTAGTGTGGTCACTAGTGAAGAAGACGTTCGACAATGGTACGAGAGCGGAGCTTCAAAAGAAGGCCGGCATTTCATCGCTAGCGCTGGAGCCCGAGGCGCTAGAGATCGACTTAGATTCGTTATGCCTGAGGACAGGGGTCACTTCCGATTCCCACGAGAAATCAGTGTTGAGAAGCCATGGGTGATCGTGAAGGAGCCAAAGGGCGAGAGGATTGTGACTTGTACCACATTGAAAGAGTCACGTGCCGTTAACAACGTGTCGTGCCGGGTGGACTCGGTTCGAAAAGGTTTAGTACCGCAGAAAGACGACGACGCTGATGCTTGGGTTCAACGATTTGTATCTCGTTTGGCGCCTGCAAGGCCTATGACTGGTCACGTATCCTTCAGACTCGTTCGTGAAGAATGTACTACGAATGGTCATAGCAACCGATTGGTGGCCATTGGCGCACGTGTTGGGGTGTCGTTGCCGTATCTATGCCAAGGTCCTACCCGATGTGGGCATTCGGCTTCAGTGGGAAAATTCTTGGACACTGTCCTGGACACAAGAGAGGCTTTGTTTACGTTTTGGGATCCTCTTCCGTACTGCGCGTACTACCAGTACCGGGCACCTGATGACAGGCGGCCACCGCCTCCGGAGCCGTGCAAGACGCCTCCGAATGTGCCTCTCTGAAGGTTAAATGTAAAAATTAGAGTTTATTTATTAATAATTCGCTCAAGTACCTGAAGAGTGCATGAGTCGAGTACGCTCCATGAGTGCCATATCTATTCGCTCTCGTCTGATGTTCTTTGACCTGCGTGAATGACAAGTGGGACAAGTAAGGGTCGGGGGACGATACGACATGTTTGTAACTACTAAGTAGATATTATAAGTGTACTGCATAAATATTATTGTAGAGATTGTTTTCTTTATCACAAGAAAGAAATAAACTTAATTATGATTCAATATACAACAAGCTTTTATTTTCGTTTCTTTAACCCGCTTATCAATTGTTGCTAATGTAGATTTAGTTTTATGATTTAAAACATTTCTCACCTGCTTTTTGTGGTTCTGATCATTCTAGCTCAAAAAACATATTTGAATAATTACTAATTCGGCCGCGACGATCAATGATTGCACTTAAATCGTTATTGATCGAAGCGGCTATTATCTATCGATTAAAAATAGAAACACATTCACAGCATTAGGTTAATGACTATAAATAAACTCGAAATAACGGGAAAACACCTACTTATTAGAATATACTGGTAAGAAATCCTTAACCAACATATTTTATTACTTAATTAGAATATGGCGTAGGTCCTATTTACCTACACTAGCTAGGTAGTAGAGTAAAAGATAAATCATTAAAATATTTGACTTTCTCTTAACTCTACTTATTATGTGCCTACACACTTAAATGCAATATAAGTCAATGATTCCTACTTTAGTGAATGAGACAAGAGGGCATTCCTAGAATCGCAGGTTTTTAACTTTTACAAACCGGTGCCGAGCCGACTGCAAAGAGCTATACTTAAGGTATACCAATTAAGTAGGTATTCCTTATGTTGAGCAAAATTAATAACTCGACGATTGAAACATATTATCGAAGTACATAAACTGCGATATTATTGCATTCGCGGTGCACTTGGCGAGATAGCGTTTATCTCCCGTCCGGGTCACCAGACTGACCGGGCAAAGATCGCACCTTTGCCGCTCGTGGAAAAATATGAGCCATTTCACTTAAGAAAGAAGATTATAAGTATCCAATTAACTATCTATGATTGTAACGCCCTAGAGACAGGACAAGGTTAGCTCTCTCTTAACCTGTTTTTACCTGTGCTCCACAATAAACAATTACCTTATTATGATTTATTATGATCATCTATGACTGGGTGACTGTGACGCGTGGTTGTGGGTGTGTCAAGAAGTAGGTACATGATGAGTTAAGTAATTAATCTCCTATCAAGATTCCGAACGCTATCAGTGGAATCAACGTGTTTTGTTATGATTTTCACATGCACTTGCATGCAGTAAAGTACTTAGCTTCAAAATTAAGATACAAAATAGAGAGCTTGGCAGTTTGAGAAACAGTGGATTACCTACTGTTGCCTGTGTGTCTCGAGTTTGATTACCGATGAATGGTTTTAAAATAACTGTCTAATTTTGCGTTTAATCTCGTGTCTGGTAGGCGTCTTCTTACTTCAGTCCTTGAAGATGCCCTCAGCAACAAACCATTACTAAGAGTGCGCCTACCCTGTTATACAAAGATAATGTATGTAGGTAAGTACAGTCAAAATCACACATCGTACTCTACATTTTTGTGTAGGCCGAACTATACATATGAGTGGCGAAAAGAGGTGGGAATTAGTTCAAATAATAGGTACACTGTCTGTTTCAAAATGGTTACATCTACCTGTTACACCTATCCAAGCACGAATTCTGGTGCATCTTGGGTATAGCAACACAAGTTATTTTTTACTTTATACGATAATATCTTAGATAGGATATTTTACACGAGTAAGTATATCCGCCTTTGACTCTTATTACTTTTAGTTGCAGATTAAAGTGATTTTGTTTGATATACTTACCTAACGCATTTATGTTTGAGTAGGCTCAAGTTTGACTATCCATAAGTACCCTAAGATCTATTTGATATCTGATGATCTGATTGATTATAGCGAACACATCACTTAGGCCCAGACTAGGCCATAAACACCATAAAGAAACATTACTGAAAAGTGATGGATAGCCTTTGAATCAATTTTATTGCATCTAAAGTTTTCTTATTAAATTAGCACTAAGGAAGCTTTTAGGAACATTAATCTAATAATATTTTTTGTAAAGACGCAGCGGTTAGCGATTTTGTTCCCGTAAATTTAGTTCTCTTGGAAGGATTATTATAATACAATAACATTTAGTTTTTGCTAGTCCAATTAATCAATATAGTAAACTCTCCTTTCTTTAGTAGACCTGCGGTGATTAATTCATAATGTGTTATGTCTTCAGAATTTTTACAAGCACCGATATAGAGTCTACTGACTCTTAAGTCCATAATATTTATTTACTTGAGTAGGTTCGTAATTACCACGTGGCCAGGAGCGTGAATTTGATGTTTATGTGGTCGTGAAGCTTAATCGACGAGATAGTCACAATCGGGAATATTATCAAACGGAGTAGTTAGGACTGTACTCGTGCTTAATTTATCAATCGGCCTTTTTGTAATGTTTTTCGTATCATAGTCGTATATCTCTACTGTGTAAATATGAGCTTAGCGAGTACACTCGACGATTGGTTCTTAGTCTTAAATATCTAGGGCTATGCTCTACCAACTCAAACTGGAGTATTTAATCGTTTCTATTTTTATAAATTTTAAAAACAAATCTTATCATCAATGATGGTGTTTGCTGCCTAATTGCTACTAAGTATTACATAAAACATTCTTTATCGATCATGCGTTTGATAATGTTAACACGTTGACTGCCAAAGTAAATTTACTAATTCGCTAAAATTGANCATGCCGAATAATACATGATTATGAATATGACGCACTACACTGATAATTTTTCTTATGGAGTTTCGTCACCCTAGAAAAATGTATGATGATGATTCATGAATATCAAATTAATTTAAAATTTAGGTGAATTACTAAACAAACCACTTTATCATCGCGATAGGTGTTTTTAGAAAAATATTAAGTACACATAGCTTACTGTGATAAACCAATCTTTAGATTATTTAATGTCCAAAATAATTAAATACTTTTGTTCTTACACGAAACAAAACTTGGGTAAGGCCCACATTTATGCGTAGCATTTTAATTAATATTACTCCGTATTGATCAATATTGCGATATCCTACTAATCCTACTAATATTATAAATGCGAAAGTTTGTGTGGATGTCTGGATGTTTGTTACTCTTTCACGCAAAAACTACTGAACGGATTTTGATGAAACTTTACAGTTTTATTGTTTATAATCCAGAATAACACATAGGCTATAATTAAGACGATTTATGTAACAAACAAAATTTCACGCGGGTGAAGCCGCTGGAAAAACCTAGTTTTACACTAATTTCTAGAGATGAAACGGATATCCGGTAACTATCCGGTAGGCCGGATATCCGGCCTAAATTTACTATCCGGCCGGATACCGGATAGTAACTCACTATCCGGCCGGATACCGGATATTAAAAAACTACGACAATTTCCTATTATAAAATGAAATACATTAATCTTTGAGGTAAATAATATCAATAAAAAGGCTTATAAATAATGACGGCTTTTATATAAAGTCGAAAAAGTTACAAAAAGCCATATTAAGGCCTTTCAAAAAACTAATTTATTTTTCTGGGCTATTCACTCTAATGACAAATACTAAATAAATAAATATCTGTTAATGTCGAAATACATATAGCCAATTAAAATGGGCGATGATTTTTTCGCTGAATGGTCTGATGACTTGATGCAGTTCAGTCGGATTACGCAGCTAGTAAACTAATTTAATTTTCCCTATCCAACCACACACTCACGATGGCAACCGAAATCACCCGAATTGATCTGCCCCCTAAACGAGTGGCAAAATCTGACATTCTATTCGGACGGATTCGATTTTCGAAAAGTGTGACTTGTCTAGTCTACTAGACCCACTGATCGCGTTTGAAGTACCTGTGCAGCGCTAAACTCGTCACGACATACAACGAGATAATGGGCCAACTATCCGGCCGCCGGATATCCGGCTATCCGGCCTAGCAGCTCGCCGGATATCCGGTATCCGGTATCCGGCCAAACCACTATCCGTTTCATCTCTACTAATTTCTCAACGTGGTGTAATTTAAGAGCATCTTATGAAATTATTTTTCTTTATACGATGTAGGTTGGTTACGTCACTTTATAGTCTACACACCTTTTATAACAACATATAGGGTGTCTCAAAAACAATAGATAACCTTAACCTACTGGATAGGATATAACAATTCAATAAAGATCTCGCTGACGTTCAGAAGTCGTCCCATTGAAAAACAGTTCTAAATCCGTATTCACAAAGAGTAATTTCGATAGAACGATTACTCGATAGGATCGCAGCTCAGCGATTTGTTGTCGTTGAAGTTTTGTTACGTCTTCCCATTGAAAAGCAGTTCTAAAGCCGTATTCACAAGGGTCATTTCGATAGAACGGTTACTCGTTAGGATCGCAACTCAGCGATTTGTTGTCGTTGAAGTTTTGTTACGGGTAAAAATATCACGGTTTTCGACCATGCTTGAAAACAAATTAATACTCACCATCTTTTTCAGGTGGAGGACAAAACTAACAACAGAATTAAAGATCTGATATCTGAGGATGACTTGAATAGATACACGCGTCTTGTTCTTGTAAATGCAATTTATTTTAAGGTAAGTACGAAGAAGTATGAATAATGGGAAAATTTAAATCTAGACCCAACCTTTAACATGTCAAATGTCAATGCGCTAAATTTAATGTGCTAAAGCAGTAAACGATTGAGTATTTTGGCGACCACGAGTCGGCGGCCCACTAGGTGGACCGACGATCAGGTGAAGTTGTAAAAACTGTTCACTTTCTTTGCTGTTGTTATTTTATCTTATATTTGTCATACATTTTAGGGAACATGGAGCAAAAAGTTCGACCCAATGCATACCATGGATAAACCTTTCCATGTAAATGCTACGACCACAATTCAAGTGCCGATGATGTACAAGGAGGATAACTTCAGATACGGCGAAAGTGAAGCATTAAACGCGCAGGTACGAAAATAGATGAATGTAAACACTTACGATATTTTACACATTTAAACATCTGACCTAATACCTATCTATTCATATGTTATCTATCCGCCTTGAAATAGTATCTGTACCAATCTGTACTGTTTCACTGCTCACATTCTTGCTTGTAGCAATTTTTTCCTTGATTCGAATATCTCAATAAAATAGGTCTCTACTTTTCGTCGTGTGTGTTCATGAGTGTCTTCATGGACCAGTGATAGATGTGCAAAAAAGCCTAAAAAACTCATACTACTCATTTTATGTTTGCAATATGGCTTTTAAAAAGCACATTTACACGTCCCGGTATTAACTCTACAACTGCTTCGGGACAATAAATGGGCCAGCTGAAAAGAAGCAGCGCAAGAAACTCAGTGACTATTGTCAGCCTCTTTTTTATAATTTATAAAGTCTTTAAAATACACATCGTTATAAATATTGATAGACAGTTAAACTTTTCAAACATTTTATACAGAAAGTTAGTTTAAAACTACTTATATCCCTTTTCAGCTGTTGGAAATGAGCTATGTTGGTGGAGAGGCGAGCATGTTGATCGTACTCCCTAGAGAAGTCGAAGGTCTTGATGGAGTTCTGAAGAAGTTGGCGGGTGGCTTCGACCTCTTAGGAGAAGTCGAAAGGAAAATGTTCTCCACCAAGGTTCAAGTCACAATTCCCAAATTCAAAATCGAAACAGAAATCGACCTCAACACCTTGCTGGTTAAGGTATGTTGATTTAATATGCGTTCATTCAGGGTTAAATTCCTTTTTTTATTTCTGCACTGTAGCAAACTTTTATGGAATGCATATTTTTTACTTTTATGATGAATAGTAGATATTGTTTTGCGTCACTTATCTTATACACGTGAAATTAATGTGTGGATGGATTTAATTTAATAATGTACAGACAAAAGCACATCAGACTACATTTTCGTTGCAAAGTCGCCCTTATCGCAACTACGTAAGATACCACAGTGTTTACGTTGGCGTGCTGTCGACTCTACAAAGAACAACAAATACTTTTCTATTACATCATCCGTTAAATTATTGATAATCATGACATTTTAACCCCTATTTATAAAGATTAAAGACATGCACAGCACATACATCTTAGACAATGATGCAATTTGTGATTTTGCCACATGTGTTGTTACCTATTTGTTGTATGATGAGCTTTTATCTCAACACATTTCAAATATTATCAAGATTTTCAAAATTATATTGTCATAGTTATTTAATTTGTTTTTTAGCATTGAGTTCAATTTGTGGGTTCAATTCCCGCCTTAGGCAGTTAGATTTTTTCAAGTTATTTATAATTTTCAAATTATATTGTCATGTTTTCAGCTTGGGATCAAGTCGATATTTAACTCCCAAGGCCCATCAGGCCTGACTAAAGTGTTGAACTGCGACGAGCCATTGTACGTGTCCAAAGCCGTCCAGAAGGCATTCATTGAGGTCAACGAGGAAGGCGCCGAGGCCGCCGCAGCCACCGGTAAGCGTTTGTTTGATCCCGTGACTATTGCATCATTTGGTAATACGGCAGTGTTTATTAAAGCAAATCGGAATTATTAGTATTGAAAAATTAGAGTTTTCAAATACACTGATATGGTACAATCCACTGAGCAAAGTATTTCATATAATTATGTATAATCATGCCCTAGCATGTTCCCGGGATTTTTCGGTTATGAGTAATCTATCTATGCAACTGCCCATTTTTTGGCATGCGAAGACAGTTGCCCACGCATCTATGAGACTTAAAATTCTCAATTGAATATCGGATTGCGCCTTGCATTGCTGCCAAAATTTATGGATAAACGTCTTTAGTTGAAGAAAACTAATAAATTGCGGCTTAATTTAAAAGATGCTATTTATGTTAAGAAGGTAGTTAGATAATCTTGCATTTACTTTATTTTAATAAACTGACGGTTTACTAAATGATGCAAATGTTGGTAAATTACGCATTTTCTCTATAAAACTAGATTTTCCATCGACAGTCTGTCTACTACTTTTAATTGAATTATACATTTAACATTTTGTCTCTTTCTCGAACTTTCCTTGAGCTGATAGTTGTCTGGAGATTGAAAATCAGTCTTTATTGTGTTTTTTTATGATAAATGGTCTGTTTTATTGGTGCCGCTTTGTTTGGGCTTGCATGTTTACATTCTAACAGTGATAAAATCTAACCTTTTTTTGCGATGTGTTTATAATTTGCGTTTACTAAGTATTTTATTTTTATTTACTTTCGCTTGACCAAATAACTTTCTTCATGGTGTTTATTTCATTATTTTTCCTTATTTTATTTATGAAATTTTGTTTATTTATGAAAAGTGAAAACATATATTTTTAATTGCAAATTTGTGGGAAAATAAGTAAATTTTGCAGTTAATATCTCTATAAATCAAAACGTATTTTTTATTTCATTATTATATGAAAACATTGGTAATTAAGATTCTTAAAATTTAGTAATTAAGATTCTTAAAAGGGTTTCTTTTAAAAATGTTTTTAAGACTCCCCCCAGAACACATTTTTGTTATCATAACTGAGTTGGTGTAAAAATAACGTTACTTATTAATGTATGTCAAACTTTCAAATGTAGTGTTTAAACACAGGGTCGGGTGTCAGGAGTAAATTACTAAAACCAGTATAAATCAATTATGTCATGGTGAATATAAACCTTCCTTAACCCTTGTTTGGTGGTGCTTGGATTGGTTCCACCATATTAAATACCTACGATTACGATAAAAAAAAATGTTGTGTAGTTAAAATAATGAAAATGACAAATTTCATTTAATTATGTAAAACGCGAAATTTTTACAACTTTAAAAAAGCACTTTTTAACATCTATGAATTTACAAAAATTGGATGGGGTGTAACAATGCGTCACGTGGCCTTGTCTAGTGTTTGGGATGATGTAGTGTTGCGTTCAATAATGGTTGGATGTGGGTGTGTGTGCGCATAGGGTTCGCGGTTCGGAGACGTCGCTGCGCTGAACTCCAGGAGGAGTTCACCGTCGACCGACCAGCGCTGTGGTGTGTTACGGCGCAACGACAGATTCTGTTCCTAGCGACCTACAAACCACCCGCGCCGTCCTCTCCACACGATGAGCTATAGTCAAGGAATCTCATATGTACGACATCGGTGCCTTTATTAAGTTTCTTACACCCAACTTTTGTAGATACTAAGTTATGGTATTATGTAGCTATGAATCTGAATGTTTAAAATTAATGTAGATGTAGTGTTTTAGACACTAATATTAATAGTACAAGTTTTANTTCAGTCACAGCGCCATGTCAAGCATTTTGTCAGGCACAACAAAATCACGTTTCTGCGTTTTGGCGGGAACTACCGTGTCGCATCGCTTTCCTCGCTTGAGCCCTCGTGAATACTATCGCTCTGTCCGGTTGCTGTCGGTCAACTGTCAAATTTCGGTCGTGTAAAGTCGAGAAAGACAGCAAGTTATAACTTACTCTCTTCAAAGCCCTAATCAGCCTAATTTTTGTCTGTAATGTTTCAATTTTTTACACAAATAATAATTTTAATAATTATGCTTAATAATTTATTCCGAAATATATCGTAAACTTGTGATTTTATTAAGAATTTCATATATTTGTCGTGTTTTTACTAAAATTTTCATTCAAACCTGTGTTAATTTTTATTTAGGTACAAGAGTTGCAGGCCATGCTGAACATACTTAGTTGGGGGCCACGTCAGTCATTTAAAATAGGAAGTAACGCATTAAACGTGCCAGGCGGCCTACTGCGGTCGTTTGATTTAGATGCTTCAGTGTCAGGCTCCAGTGACTGACATGGCCCAAATAGGTTGCATGTTTGTCAGTCACCGGTGACTGTCATGGCAGCCTACGTGTTAAGTAGGTAGTTAACTATTATACATTTGCACAAACTCACGCGTCTTCTTCTTCTTCGCTAATTATCAGTAGTACTTAATTAATCACCTAAAAAAATAAAGGATAAGTAAGCACTTACTTAACCGTATACCGTATCAATTACGATATCAATTTAACTGTCGTAGGAAGTTAACGTGTTGATAAACATGTTTTATCCACTTAATTGCATATTAAATACTTTTCATATCAGTCCCTAGTCATTAACCAATTGTTTCTTCCGCAAGTCGTTTACCTACTAGGTAGGTAGCTATAGGTCATTTTCGACGTAAGATCTATCATAGCCACACAGTCTCTCATCAAATTAGTATTTTTATGTCAATAAACATAATATTAGAGTAGATATTTAGAAGAGGCAACTACTGTAGTTTTACATCAAGAAAGGTAGAAGTGAAGTGCGAGTACTTAGTAGAACCTTTTTTCAGCAGTGAATATACATTATAAAACATTCTAAGCTTACCTTCTTTTCTTTTAATTCCAAACGATGGCACGGTAGGTACCCCATGAAACGCGTGTGAGAAATCGTGTGACTCCATCATTTGCAATGTGTTAGCTTCGATTGTTTGGACAATAATTAGTACGATCGATTTTATGCAGGTTGCACGCACCTAGGGTATAGGGATACTTTGTAAACTAATGCACCGTTACAAAAATAATTTAGCTTAATAACATTAGGCACAGATTTTTATTTGATAGAGTCGCATCAGTTTATTATTTACAGAACTCATATGCCTAATATTGACATACTACTTGTATCTGATTCAGTTTTTCCCATCACAAATCATATTAAAACAGTGTACCAACAGAAAATATTCTTTTAGTATCTAAAAAAGAGACTTTAGTCGGGTGATTAAATATTAGTTTGAAATGCTACCTAAAGTTTTTCAACTAGTACCAGAGCTCAGAATTAAATAAACTAAGCTTAATAATGGAAGGCAAACTGTGCAATATAATTAGATAATTTAGTGCCTACTTAGCTGAACTAGATTTGGATTATCGATAGATTACGTTGCTTATTGCTGCAAAAAACGAGAATGAGAACCTTGACCTGGAAGAATGGGGGAATTTTTGTTACCAAGCCAATAAAAATTACCAACAACTTCTACCATTTCCATTGAGCACATTGGACAACTGGATCACAGTTAATGCTAGCAGGAAGCAGGCCGCTATCAACCAGGTCATTGGGAAAGGCCCATGTTATGGCTGATGATGATTGATGACACGTTACTGAACAACTGACCAGAGCCTTGTAATATAGAGAACGCTTTGGGAATGGTTGCTCTAAGACACCATACCTACAATATTCATGCTTTATAAAGGGTAACTGCTTACTAAAGCGATAAGATAAATACTCACTGTAACTGAAGAATTAGATAATGAAATATCGCTGAACCCAAAGATAATGGTTTAATTTGTTTCCTTGTTATAATGCTGATAAAATTGCGGCGTAGTTTTAAATACGCACAACCAAGGTTGCAGCGTAGACGCATTGTAGACGCTCGATTAGACGTTATCATTTAAAAACTAGCCTTATTGTAAACAGATCATGCATTATTATAATGTTTATTCTTCCGTATGTATGTCTATTAATCAGCCGAACTATTGTTTACAACTCCAATCTTCAAGGTGATTCTAAAAAATTAAAATCTTGATATAAAAGTAAAACCATTTAGTGTTTCGTTCAATCATCAATACAAGAAGCCCGTGCTCAATGCTCATGGGAACGAGGGGTGGGAATAGATAGTACCTACTTACTTAGAATAGAATTAGCAACTAAATTAACCATTAACCATTCTAAATATTTAATTTTATCCTATTAATATGATTTTCGGTGTTAAATTCTTTCATTATTTGAGTAATCTTCCATCAAAACTTGTTAAAAATAAAATAAATTAATTTAAGGTGAATTAAATTCAATGATATTGCACAGTTACCTACTATTTTTTTACAAACATACATCCGTGACCTATAAAATTGTAAAAATATCAGCAGACGTAGATAATATAGGTTTAGATTACCAATTATTTGATATCAGTTGCCAATTAAAGTTATTGTTTTATTATTTTTAATTGTATAGAGTTTACAATGTCCTCAGGGGTTCTTTAAAGTTACGAATAAAAAATAGGAGTTTTATTTACCATTTTAACATATAAAATAGAACCATGTAAAAGCAAATAAATATTTCTGATTTCTGATTTAATGTTGAATAGTTTCGCCGAAGTCAGACGTTCCTCAGTCCGTGTAGTCTCGAGGTTTAGAATTGTATCTACTCTATGATAGAGGTTTCAGATATTTAAATACTTTATTCTCAAATGGACATAGTTGACACCGCTAACCTCACCGACAGATCTGGGGATAGGGATACTTTTTTTAATTTAACTTATTTTCCTTTTTTGTAAATATTGTATTTTTTTTTGTATATAGTATAGTTTTTAAGTTTGTAAATTACCTGTACAAATTTAGTATGTTATTGTTTAATAAAGTTGTAATACTTATATCAAAAATTATTGAGATATGTAATAATATTTCTAATAAACCTTTATCAACTATTATGAAAAATAATACTTAATGCATTATTTTTTATTTTTTTTGCCGATGGGCATGTAGTGTGTGTTGTGTAACATGTAACAGTATAAGTATGTATAAATATCGATTATCCCTATTTAATCTTTCATTAATAAACTGAGATAGTTGACTTAATATGAGAAACATTTAATATTACATATTAATAATACCCGAGTAAACTTCAAAATAGGGACGTCCTCACAATCAAATGAAGGTCGTGTGAAGACGTGACTTAAGATGAGCATAAATAGGGAAAAATAGATTTCCGTTCACTTGTTTATTATTCAAATTAAACTGCTTAGGTTTGCCACGATATTTAATCATTTCACTTGAGCTGTCTTGGACCTTAGTAAAGTGTACACGCAGTGCCTTTTATTATTTCTTCTCATGATATTGGATGGTTAAGTGGACTCTATAATAGTATTTGAGGGTTGTAACATAATAATTTGATTCATTCATGATATATTGAAACAAATCCATACTGTAACCCAAACTGTTTAACATAAAGCAAGACTTCATTTAGGTATTAGGGTACTTTATTAGGTTCACAAAGTTTTTTAATCGATTTTATTGCAAACAACTCTTAATAGATTTAACCTACTTAAGATAATGTTGTTTAGATTTTAGCATGAAGTTTATCGCATCGTTTGACATGAGTGTACTGCGACTCGCCAACATATCTACGTATTAATCAACACTAAAGTAATGATAAATGTGTTCTTATTACAGTTAATACGAATCTTATATTGCTAACCCTCAGAGGTACTTACCTACTCGGTCGTTGGCACCAGACGTCCAAAGTTCGATTCTCGCCTTGGCCAGACGACACGACCCACATATTGTCTCGGTAATTACTAATGATTGCTTTACAGTAAACTAATAAAACCAAGTTAAAGGAAAGTTACAATTGTAATTGTTTATTCATGATTAAAGGGGGATTTACTTTGTATTTGTTTTCATTTGGAATTTAGTAAGATTTATAAAGCCGGAACTTATTGCTTTTAAAATATAGGTAAATTTTAAAACATATAGTTGAAGTCAAGAAGTAGGTGTATTGCATGGGAGGTGACACGTATTATCATTCGTTCGTTTCAGCCGAAAGACGTCCACTGTTGGACAAAGGCCTCCCCCAAGGATTTCCACAAAGACCGGTCCTGCGCCGCTCGCATCCAGGCCTCCCTCGGCCTTCACTAGTGGGAGGCCTGCCCACGCTACGTTTTCGGCTCGTGGTAGCCACTCGAGAACTTTTCTGCCCCCTGAACTTTACGAGCTATGTGCCCCGCCCACTGCCACTTGATTTTAGCAATTCTGCGAATTATCGTACTTAGGTTTATTTACTAGTTTAGGTTTACTAGCGCAGACCACATGGAGACTGCCTCCCGTGAGCCCATGACTAATTGTTTGTTTAACTAGTAAACAAACAGTCAACCAGCAAGTTGTGTCATTAATAGTATCGTAACAATTAGACTGCTAAGTGCTCGTAGAGCTTGTCCTACATGAGCGCTCCGGGCTACGTGACTCACCACACGTTCCTTTAACCAAAGCCCTTAAGTATGACCTAGGCCATACATTCGTAATATCCCTTAGGTAAAGACATTTTTATCCATGTGATTGTAGATTCGAAGATAATCCTATCGTTCATCTTGGAATCTGCCCCTAAAGTAAATATTTCATATCCGTTCAAACACAAACTTTGCTTAATTATGTTTGTAATATTTGAAATTTGGTAAGTT